GTCTTTAACTAAATCAACCAAGTGTTCAGTTGAGAAGAAAACAAATCCTCCTGATCTACAAGTAATTTTGAGATTTGTTATGATCTGCATATTTTACTCATGATCTGCATATTTTACTCATGATCTGCATATTTTATTCATGATCTGCATATTTTATTCATGATCTGCATATTTTATTCATGATCTGCATATTTTATTCATGATCTGCATATTTTATTCATGATCTGAATATTTCATTCATGATCTGCATATTTTACTCGTGATCTGCATATTTTACTCATGATATTGAATGTTCATCATTACTTACTTTAGGTTACTTTAGGTAGGTTCGGCAGGGATCGCTTCTGGACAACAGTATCAAGTACGTCCTCCAATCACTCCTGGCTTAGATCTTTTTGTAGAGTCCATTCCAGAAGAGAATTATTTGTGATGGCGGTATACCCTTTTGTGGGCGGGGTGTCCGGGAAGCCTTTCAGGAATTTAGCAAGGGAGGATTTGAAAGTTTCCAAGACTTGGATTGTGTTAACTTCCTTGGGGAGCAGGTTCCATAGTTTGGCTGCTTTTACTCCAAAAGAGTTTTCATAATGGGTCGAGATTGAGCATTGTGCCTTTTTGTTAAATGCAGGCACAGTGGCCTTTACACCGTGTCGGGAGCTTTCCTTGAACTGCATGTTGATGTCGTTCGGAGCTAGTCCATTCATCATCTTCCATGTATGGATAATGATGTATCGTTCTCTGCGTCTCTGTAATGAGAGAAGATTCAGGTTCTGCAGGCGTTCCCAGTAATCAAGGTTCTGGCAGCCACTGATTCGACGAGTGTAGTGTCGTTGGATGCTTTCAATAGCTTCTATATCGCTGATCTTGTCAGGGTTCCACACCGGGCAGCAGTATTCGAGTTTGCTTCTCACCATGGTTTTGTAGAGTGTGAGCATGAGGAAGCGTGACCTATCTCTGAATACGCTAAGGACCCATGACGTCATCGTCCTTGCTGTTTTAGCCATCTGCTGTATGTGAGAAGACCAGGAGCAGTCATTTGACAGGAGAACCCCTAGATCCTTCACAGTTTTGGCTGGGTCAATAGTTCTTCCATTTGTTAAATAATAAATTGTTACAGGAATATTGACTGGTGAAGGGCAATTCTCTTAACAGTAATGAATTGTTCAAGCTGTAATTCAATATTTCGAATTTGGCCTCATTTAGTTGCATGTTGTTCTTCAGGGCCCAAGCGATTACATTTAGGAGGTCGTCTTGAAGTAGGCTTTTGGTAGCTAAGTCCATGATTTTTCCAATGAGCTTGGTGTTGTCAGCAAACACCTTTCCCAGAGCGGTAACCAATGTATCAAGTTGGTCGTCAATGTATAGAATGAAAAGATGCAATTTAAACCAAATCTTTGTAATTATGTACTTTCTGCTTTTCTGATACAAATTTAATGAATCAAAAGGTTGCAATAATTGTAACATAGTACAATCTACAGGGCATTAAGAATATTTTGCATCATGCCTCGACGTGTACCGATTCTGAGAATAAAGCGTGTGAAGATAAAACAAACAAAGCAACCGTTCTTGAGCTTGAGACACCGGGCAAGGAGGAGATCAAGCAGAAAAATAAAAGAAAAGCAAAACCTTCAGACAATAAAACTTCCGAAACTGAGTCCAGCAGTGAACATTTAGACTCAGAAATGGAGAAATGTAAAGAATTTAGCTCAGATAAAAGCTCCGATTATGTTCAGATAAAATCCAAACGAGGAAGAACGACCGCCAAAATTGACTACAGCAAACTGTAGATTGTTGAATTGTTTTAAGTAGTCACAGTTAGATTTTAAGTTTGCCTTACAAGTTATATATATATATATATATATTATATAATCTAGTTTTTAGTTATTTTGAAATGTTATAATTTTGTGCCGCGGAATTATTTTGAAGCGTGTTATCCCTTGTTTTTAAACCTTCAAATGCGGAATCCGAACAAATAGATTGACGCAATTTTTAATGATTTTTAAGAGATCGCTTCAAAAGCATTTAATCTTTCAGACAATATTATGATAATAATATGTTAGCTTATCTGTAGTCTAATCAGTTGATTTGATAAATATAATATATCTATATATACAATATAACATCTTCATTCTTCAGAGAAACATTGTTCAATCAATAACTCATTGTTAACAGTTGTTAAAATATAACTTATAATATTACGTTGTTTTTAATACCACATACCAAGAAAACTTCTTATTTTCTAACATTTCAGAGATACGTAGTAAGGCATGGCCAATATTTTCTTTTTTCAAATTACAAAAATGCACAATCACAATACTGTGGTACCCGGATCAGTTTAAAGTTTTAGTCAGATCAGAATGACAATATTTTACGGACAAGTATCAATAATGGCAATCTTCTTATTCGCTTAATTTCGACTCTTTTGTTATAATAATCCCATGGCTCTAGTACAACTATTGTACGATATCCATATTATATCTGTAATTTAACATTGTCACATTATATATCATTTTGTAGCATGATATAATAACAGCAGCTGTAAACATGGACACTGGAAGTGAATTGGTAGTGAGGAGGATTAATACAGGAACTAAATACAGGGTATGATGTTCTTTGAGATTGTAATGTAAAACTGAAAGTACGCTTTCTTCTGAATAACCTTACTTTAATTTGGTCAAGTATCCAGATCAATGGCCTCTTGATACAATGGCACCATTGTTTTTGTTTTGGATTTCCATTTTCCTCCCAATCTCATTGTCCTTCAACAATCTACTAAATAATAATGTTCAACATCCATGGGTGCGTGTGTCATTTACAAAACGCTTAATCAACAGTAAGAGTTATGGGACTGGTTTGTTCGGCATAAAAATCCTGATATTTTTGTTGACTGACCCTGTAAAAATAATTCTCCCAATATTTCAGGATTTCTACTCGTGGCCGGATGAAGAGCTAGATGAGATGGAGAGTACACTGGCTATCCAGCAATTCATCCAGCAGAAGATACGACGAGACTTTACTGATATCGAGGGGATATTGGAACTGCCCCTGAAAGTGGATGTTAATGTTTGGAACTACGAGCACCTCAGGTATTATACTCCATCATTGGACTCAAGTGTTGGCAAATGTAGCCGAAAAATCCATATAATATATAGACTTTATTTCTTGAAATTTATCAATCTTCTTTAATGTTGCCACCCGAACAAAGCACATGTATCTGTCACGTGATATATACTATACATATGTCACGTGATATCTACTATACATATGTCACTTGATATCTACTATACAGTCTCCCCCAGGCAGTTTTGTATGCAGCTTAATGAGCTGTGTGTGATGTTACAACCAGTTTGTAACTCCGAGACTTGTTCCCAGATGACTGCCACTGCTAGCTGGATCTTCCTTTGTGCCGTGAGTTGTTTTTTAGTACTGTTATTTGTAAGTACTTTGTTAGTACTGTGATTTGTAAGTACTTTGTTAGTTCTGTAATTTGTTAGTACTTTGTTAGTACTGTAATTTGTTAGTACTTTGTTACACATACTGTATATATAATATATATAAACAAAAGCTCTAAGAAACAGATAGTAAACAAAGTAAACATTTCTGTCCCCTAATCTTTCTCAAACAAAAGTCATGCAATCTGCATACTTCTCCATTTAACTCTATTCTGAGCAATTAACGTTAAATAGTTCAAATCACATAAATTATTTAACGATAATTTTCGGACACTAAGGTCGTGTAGAATCAGTGAGAAAAGGTTTGACTGCGGTCTTCCACGCCACCCTTGAAGCTGTAAGGTGTTGACAGCAAAAACAAGCGACGAATAGGCTGGGCCATCTGTAGGCCCCCGCAGTACATGTCCGAGCATCCTCCACCGACTACGAGCCACTTTAGCTGACAATGGTTCGCTATTGCAGCGTTTATACAAGTTCTTGTTGGAGATGATGTGAGGGTATTTGTAATTCAAAATTGATCGCAGATGACGTCTGTGAGCAATATCTAGTTTTTCCAATACTGATTTAGGGGGAAGTTGGTCGTTTACCACCTGACAGTCTATGCAACGTCTATGCAACGTCCGTGCAACAACAAAAGAACCGTCTATGCAACGTCTATGCAACGTCCCTGCACAATGAACACTCTATGCACACTCCCTGCACGGTCAGTCTATGCAACGTCTATGCAACGTCTATGCAACGTCTATGCAACGTCCCTGCACAGTACCATATGAACACCGGCTACTAGCCGGCTACTAACCGGCTAGTAGCCACTTTTGTAATAACAGCTCCTCAACTTCACATTAACAACCGGCTACTAACCGGCACTTGAAAAGTGGTCACTAGCCGGCTACTAACCGGCTACTAGCCGGCTAGTGACCACAAAGTGGCTACTAACCGGCTACTAAGCGGTCACTAGCCGGCTATTAGCCGAGCTCTAAAGCAGACCTACTAGTAGCCGGTTCCAAACCGGCTACTAGCCGGCACTTAGAAAGTGGTCACTAGCCGGCTACTAACCGGCTACTAACCGGCTAGTAACCACCAAGTGGCTACTAACCGGCTACTAACCGGTCACTAGCCGGCTCTTAAGCGGACCTACTAGTAGCCGGTTCCAAACCGGCTACTAGCCGGCACTTAGAAAGCGGTCACTAGCCGGCTACTAACCGGCTACTAACCGGCTAGTAACCACCAAGTGGCTACTAACCGGCTACTAACCGGTCACTAGCCGGCTCTTAAGCGGACCTACTAGCCGGCACTCGAAAAGCGGTCGCTAGCCGGCTACTAACCGGCTACTAACCGGCTAGTAACCACCAAGTGGCTACTAACCGGTCACTAGCCGGCTCTAAAGCGGACCTTCTAGTTCCAAACCGGCTACTAGCCGACACTTGAAAAGCGGTCACTAGCCGGCTGGTGGGTACTAGCTGGTTAGTAGACGGCTACTAACCGGCTAGTACTAACCTGCTCTAGGCGACTCTAAATCAGACCGGCTATAATTCATTATTGCCAAATAAACAAATTATTTGAAACAAATTATTTGAAACTTGTTATTTGAAACTTGTTATTTGAAACAAATTATTCAATGAAACTAATAAATCAATGAAACTAATAAATCAATGTTTTAGCTCATTTTACAAAGTCAAATATTTAAAACAATTAAAATTGTATAGTGCTCAATTTGTAAATGACTAGTTGATCTTTGCTATTGGAAGTTTGTCAAGGACTGGCAGCTAGCGGGGCAAGGAATGCACGGGCTTAGGGGCTTTTGTGCACACCAGAACACTAGCTCGGTAGATTTTTGGAAACTAGAAGGACTGAAAACTAAAATTGTTTTTGATGGAGGCTGAGGCATGTTTTTGAGAGGGACGGTATAATAGCTTGTGGTAACAACTGGCCTTTACTTTAATAGGATTAAGTTTTAGTTTTAGGACAGGAAGAAGGCATTAAGAAGATTTGCTCTTTGTTTACAAGGCAGAATATAAGCAATGTTGGTTATAATATGTATCAATATCTAGATCTTCGTTTATCAATTTTCACTAAATGGGTTTAAAATTTTAATAGGGAGGGAAATTCATCAACTTTATTAAGTACCTATCAAAAATAAATCTTATATCAATGTAATATATTAAAAATCATAATCCTAAGTCTAATAATAAATCTGTTAAAAACACTTTCTCACCACACTGCGCTCACACACGTTAGTAAGACAAAAGAAAATGCACACCCAGCTTATTTTCAATTTCAAGATAATCATTTTGGATGTGTGGACCCTAGGGTAGACTTAATGTCAAAATTTAGATTAGAGCATTCGAAATCTTTGTTTGTCCAATCAAGATCAGCATGGTTATGCTGGTTGACGAGCAGTGATTGCTTCATCCTAGACTTCAGGCAGGCCACACTTAGACAGTAGTCACGTATACCAAGCTTAGGCACAATTACGTTCCAAATACGAGTCGTTCTGCTATTGAAGTTGTCAGGGGGGTCTGCTTGGCTTAGTATAAGGGTGGGTTTCCTACTTGAGCAGGTGAAATTTTCATGGAGGGAAATCGGAGCACGGAATTTCATGATTTTATAGAGTTCAAGGAAACAATGGTAAGTGTACAGGTTTTGGACGGCAAGTATTCCGTGTTCCTTGAACAAAGGTTTCGTGTGCTCTTTCAAGAAAAATTTTTTGTTCAGATTTTGGTTGCCAAACGGTCGAGCACGAGCACAGGTCTTAAATCTATCTAGGTATGCCTCCCTGTCGCCAAACAGTACCCTGAGACAATATTTTTGTGCTTTGAATACAGAACTTATACGAGTTTTGGCTGCCCCACCCCAAACCGTGATACAATAGGAGAGGTGTGATTCAAATAGAGTGTAATACAACTGGCGGTGTAAGAAATCTGGGAGGGAGCAGCGTAGGCGGCAGAGAGTTGATGTTGCATGGCTGAGAGAACGCCTAAGTGATTTTATATGTTCTTCCCAGGTTAGCTTTTCATCGATGACGACTCCCAGAAACTTAGCAGATGCAACTTGTTTTATTGGAAAGTTATCAATGGTTAGAGTATATTCAGAATTATTGTCAGTCTGGGAGGACGATGCTGGTTTAAAGTGGATGAAACAGCATTTAGACAAGTTGACATGGAGTTTGTTTGCTCGCATGTAGGAATATAAACTAGCTAAAAGAGAATTACCACGCATATATGCCTCCTTTTTAGATTTCCCAGTCACAAATATATTGGTGTCATCAGCGAAGGTGACAAATGATCCCAAACTGGAGCTGTTGGCGATATCATTAATATATAGGAGAAATAAGAGAGGTCCAAGAATCGAACCCTGAGGGACTCCAAACTGTATTTTCAAGGCGTCAGATTTCTCACCAACAACTTCAGTATATTGTGATCTATTTGTTAAGTAACTTTTTATAAGATCATTTGCCACCCCACGTATCACATAGCCCTGTAATTTGACGAGTAATGTACCATGATCTATTGTATCAAAAGCTTTGCTAAGGTCTATGAATATGCCTAAGACATGATGCTTAAGTTTTAGAGATTATTTTAATTTTATTATTATTAATTATTAAAATGAATTATTTGAAACAAGTTATTTGAAACACGTTATTTGAAAGTAAGTTCCAAAATCGATTACAACATTTTTATGAAAAATAAAAAAATACTGAAAACTGATTACATTCAATTTCTTCGTGGTGGAGGAGCAGTGTAATTGTTTTTGGGCGCTAGGACGACGCCTTGGGTACAAAGGGTCCTAAGAGTGGCAAGATTACGGTTGCAGATCTCGTTTGCGAAGGTGTAAACACTAGGAAGTCTGACGTCTCGTAGTTGCAGCAGTGCGTGTTGGACACCTGGTAGGTCAACTTTTGCTGCTTCAGCGATACATCGCTTTCTTGAGAAGTGACTCCGAGAAATGTGTATCTGCTCCAGAGCGGCAGACTTTGAGAGACCAGAGTTGACTAGCTAGTGCCGGCTAGTAGCCGGTTTGGAACCGGCTACTAGTAGGTCTGCTTTAGAGCTCGGCTAATAGCCGGCTAGTGACCGGTTAGTAGCCGGTTAGTAGCCACTTGGTGGTTACTAGCCGGTTAGTAGCCGGTTAGTAGCCGGCGAGTGACCGCTTTTCAAGTGCCGGCTAGTAGCCGGTTTAGAACCGGCTACTAATAGGTCTGCTTTAGAGCCGGCTAGTGACCGGTTAGTAGCCGGTTAGTAGCCACTTGGTGGTTACTAGCCGGTTAGTAGCCGGTTAGTAGCCGGCTAGTGACCGCTTTCTAAGTGCCGGCTAGTAGCCGGTTTGGAACCGGCTACTAGTAGGTCTGCTTTAGAGCTCGGCTAATAGCCGGCTAGTGACCGCTTGGTAGCCGGTTAGTAGCCACTTTGTGGTCACTAGCCGGCTAGTAGCCGGTTAGTAGCCGGCTAGTGACCACTTTTCAAGTGCCGGTTAGTAGCCGGTTGTTAATGTGAAGTTGAGGAGCTGTTATTACAAAAGTGGCTACTAGCCGGCTAGTAGCCGGCTAGTAGCCGGTGTTCATATGGTACTGTGCAGGGACGTTGCATAGACGTTGCATAGACGTTGCATAGACGTTGCATAGACGTTGCATAGACTGACCGTGCAGGGAGTGTGCATAGAGTGTTCATTGTGCAGGGACGTTGCATAGACGTTGCATAGACGGTTCTTTTGTTGTTGCACGGACGTTGCATAGACGTTGCATAGACTGTCCGGAGGTAAACGACCAAGTTGCCGATTTAGGGGCAGCCCAGCAAGATGAATTGTACATTAAAACGGATACTACCAGAGCCTCATACAACAGAAGCCTCTTGCTCAGAGGGATCTTATGGTTCCAAGCTTTCTTGTATTTGTTAAACGCGGCATATCCCAGACATATCCTTCTAGAGATGTCCTCCTTGCTACAAAGCATGGAGCCAAGCGTGATACTCTTTCTCCAGAGCTCGTTCCCTGCAATTGGCTTACCCTGATCGTCTTTAGCTCCCTTTTCAGCTAAGTACACATGAGTGAAATCAGTTTTGTCTTCGTTAACGAAGAGATTCCAATCTTTAAGGACTTCTGTTGCAATAGGCAACAGCTCCCTCAAATTGTCTTCATCTTCATCATTGAAGTCGATATCATCAGCATACTCACTGTCAAGTGGAAGACCAATATCGGTGATAGGTGGGTTAGGCCTATTCGTTGCAGTTTCAAGCCTGTTACGGAGGTCACGCAAGGCACCCGCTAAGACAAGTGTGAACAAGCATCCAGACAGACAGTCACCTTGGAATGCACCGAGAAAACTCTGGAATTCAGCAGACAGTGTACCGTTGATGTTGACTTTGAGCTTGGTGTTGGAAAGCAAAAGTCTTACCAAACGGACTTCGTCATCATCACAGCCACACTCAACAAGAAGATCGAGGATGGTAGATCGTCGTATAGTGTCAAAGGCACTAGACATGTCGATCCCCATACGATGGTATTCCCACCTCTTCCTCTGGACAACTGATAACATCACACGCTGGCACCATACAATGTCAGCACATGATCTACCCTGCTTGTAAGCACATTGCCATGGACCAGTGAAGGCATTGACTTTATTCTCAATTCTCTTCAAGGTTGCCATTGAAAGAATCTTTCTAACAGCATTTGAGAGAGTGAGGGGTCGTAGATTCTTCACTGGACCAATGGGCTTATTTGGCTTCTGTAAGGGGGTAATGTTTGCCTGTCCAATGGGGTCAAGGTAGGAATTGGTCTCAAAGCTTCTATTGATAATGTCTGCAAAACGTCTGTGTACTGATCCAGTAGAATACTTGAGAAGCTCATTAGGAATCCCATCTGGGCCGTTAGCTCGACCATTTTTGAGACTTCTAGCAGCTGATCCGATTTCTTCACTAGTGAATGGCTTAACTAGTGGGCGAGGAGGTCCTAAAAAAGGTTCTAAAGGTGCTTCATCACGAGTAAGTTGTTGCTCAAGGTACTTAGCAACTACGGCAGCTTTACCAGTGTCTGTTGCAATATTGCACCCTTGCTCATCATGAACACCAATACAAGAAGGGGCTTTAGGTAAGTTCAGGGTTCGAACAGCTTCAAACATTTTCTTACTATCTGTTGTTGAACTGATGGTATTACAGATAGCATCAGCAGCAGCTGATCGTATGTTAGAAAGTCTCTGCTTGATCTGATTGGTGAGGCAGTTAATAGATGATCTAAGTGAGGTTCTGTCTAAAGACTGGTTATCATTAAGCTGCTGTCTCAACAAGTAACGCTGGCTAGATAAGTTTTTCACCTCATCATCGTCACTGCGATTACGTTTCCTGTGTCTGATGACACCAATTGACGATTTTGCAGCATCCTTTATGGACTCAAGTAAGCCATTCAAGTCTGAATTTGGATCCAGAGCAGAAACAGTGTTACTTAAGTTATCATCTAAGGATTGACGATATTTCACCTGAATGGTGGGGTTCGAGGTGAGTTCAGAGGTGTTGAACTTTAAGGATGACTTGGAGTGGCGTTTATAGCAAAGACAGATGTCCTTAAAGTCTACTCTAGTGACAACAAATCTGTGATCAGAGTATGTCAAGGTGCCTGCATAAGATCTAGAATCTTGTAGCATTGGCTTCGACCTACTTCGACACAGGATGAAATCGATCTGAGAATAGACCGGGATCGTCTTTTTACTATTTCGCCCGGCACTCCAGTCCTTCCTCCAGCCAGTGTAGGTGGTCGTATGTCGAGCAGGATGATAAAAACCAGTGTTGGAGGCAAAGAGGTCAAATTCTGATAACAAGTCTAACAAGTTTTCTCCCATATCGTTGCGCAAACCCATACCATGTTTACCCATGAAACGACCAAAACCAAAGTCCTTATCTGAAGCAGTCATTTTTCCCAACTTTGAATTAAAATCCCCCAAAAGAAATATCTCAACATTAGCAGGGACGTTTAGAGCATCCCTAACTTGGCCGTAAAAATTAATCAACAGTTGTTGATCATTATCTGCAAGTTTCTTGTGTGGCCCATATACATTGACCACCCTACATTTGATAAATTTTCCAGATTTTGTAGGGAGTTCTAGGTCCAAAAAGCTTACTCGATCACTGATACTGTTCCAGCATACCACAGAGTCAATAAATCGGGGACTGATAACAAAACCGAGTCCATAGTGCCGGCCATTTTTCTGCTCAAACAATAATAGTTTGTATCCGTTGCTAAGACTGCAAGAATCCGGTTTTACAACCTTAGTCTCCTGAATAGCGCAGATATCTATGCCGTACCGTAGACAATCGGTACCCAGTTGCTCCCGTTTGCTGTGGATGTCGTCTGGATCATCACAAGAACCGAGGCCACGTATGTTAAAGGTGGCGAAGCTGATGAGGAGTGTAGCAAACAGGGATCGTCCTGCAGCTGAGGTAAACATTACGGAGGGCGATGTTGTCGTCTCTCCGCCGCTGGCGTTACCCATACGGTCCATCTAAATACTGTATTATGTATGAAATTATTGGGCTGAACCAGCATACCACGCTTACCATATTGGTACATGATAGACTGAAGAGTGTTGCATTTTGCGATTGGAACAAAGAGAATTAAAGGGATGAAAAGTAGATGTAGAAATAGTCGCACCGAATCTACCAATGATATCCACTACATATTCACATCTACTACATATCCACTACATTACATATACTATTCTGTATCCACTACATTACATATACTATTCTGTAGCCACTACATTACATCTACTATTCTGTATCCACATTCCACTGTATTACATCTACTATTCTGTATCCACTGCATTACATCTACTATTCTGAATCCACTACATTACATCTACTATTCTGTAGCCACTACATTACATCTACTATTCTCCCTGTATTCAGGTGCACAAAGAACCAAAGGAATGTTGTGCAATAGACTACATTAGACATACGTTGGACGGTGCTGCCAGCATACTGAACAGTAACAAATACTTTCCTAGCAGGTTAGCGGAGTCACCATTTCTTTGTTTACTATAATATTTTCCATCATCATTGCATTTTTTATAAGTTTGGGAACAACATTAAAGCAAATTTAACCAAGATTTTTAACCAATTTGTTCAACAAATCTTTACCCATATCTAACAAAATCGGACACCATTAAATTGTACGAGATTTTCATGTTTCCCTGTTTGATAAGATCAGTTTATTGAGCAGGGTAAACATAAAGGACAGCTCCGTCAACAAACTCCCCTCCACCTGTAGACGTGTCTACAGGATCTTCTCTCATGCTTACTTCCACCACAAGACCATCTACGACGACTTCGAGGTAAGTTCTGCCGGATAAGTTCAGTACAACCAACGACAAATTGTTCAATTGTCGTTGTGTCGTCAGTCATAGCTGCTTGATTTGAATGACTGGTTTGTGTGGTTTCTTTTCAAATTTAATGGAAAGACATATAATTAATTTTTTCCGAAGTCGTTTTCGGCTGGTAGATCAATATCATGAGATGCTTTTGTGAGGATTCAATGGGAAATTTTATGCACTTTTTCAAACACAAGGATATATTTTGAACAGTCAACATACCCCCGAAAATCAATTATGTTGTATCGCTTCTCGGCCTTTTGGCTAAGATCAAGTGTAGTATCTGTTCTTATCAGTTTAATATCTGATACGCTACTCATCGAGTAGCTTCAATATTAAATTGATTTTTGGAAATCGGTCTCGGATGTGAAGCTTGCTTCAGCCAGACCACGAGTCTTCCCCGTATTGCAGTACCTCGGGGCTAGGCTCACCTCCCTTTGGGGAGGCCCTATTAATGAGAAAGAGTTTATCATACATGCTTGTGTACAAGCAAGCACAAACTTGCATGGGTCGACTGTGAATAGATTCCCGAGAGATACGTCATGTTAAAACGTCAGCCTGTTAGGCGAGTGTCTAAATGCAATGCCAGACAAATGACGTAGAGGGTTCATAAATAGCTATAATAATTAATATGACGGTACCATGACACCTTAAATTATAACATGGTCTTCTTCAGGGCCGGACGATGTTGTGTCACAGGTTTGACCGGTGGGTTAAGAAGTTTGACCTCATCACACCGGACCTATTGATTGTTCCTCTTGATGACAACTCTGACAATCTTAGTGACAACTCCGATGGAGATGGGTGAGTGTATTCATGACAAATTAGAAATTATAATCTTCCTATTACTCGACCTTGGGAGTCCTGTGTATACATATTTACCCTCATATTGTAGCGTATCAGTTTATTGCTGTAATAATAATTCGTTGGCAAAACAAACTATTTTGCTCAAGCTGACAGTTTGTCCAATCTTAGTTTGAACGGTATAAAGAAGTTCAATACCTCTTACGGAAATTCGTATCGCTGATTGTTGTATTTTATTTTATCATCCCAGGTATTCAACCCTAATCAACAACTCTGTCATAGAGGCACCGAATTACAAGGTTAGATACTAAGATACGAGCTTGTTAGTGGGAGTGGAGAATGGAATGCGAGTGGCAAATGGAATGCTGAGAGCTGAGTGAAGTTCAACACAAGTGTGATGTGTGAATGGAGCTGTTTGCCTGTGTGAAGAGAGTGATTTAATACTAGGAGTTTACGGATTTATGAGAGTTTGAGTGATTTTATTTAATACTATATTGAACTATTGGTGTTTGTGCGAACATTTATAATGTTGTGTGAGAACTAAACTATAGTGAAGTGAGATTTTTCAGCACTGGAACATATCACACCAAATTTATACCTTCCTTACAAAGTTGTTTTCTGTTTCAAGCGTCATGATCATTGATTATTGATTATGGACAACTCTATTTTATAATACAACAATCTCTTAATTTTACAGCCAGTCTTAATTTTACAGCCAGTCAAAACATATGATAAATATTCATATTTTATTGTGATATGGTAGCTACAACCATAGAATTATGGTGCAATATGGCTAAACTCAAAAGTGCTATAAATTTGGCACCTAGATTTGCTATGAAATTGTCTATCGCAGCTTGGCTGCGTTAGATTAAGACTGAAAATATCACCTCTTATCTTAGTAGCAAACGTTACAACCGTATACTCTAAAATATCCAAAAGCAAAATGACTAGTGAGACACAATTTGAATTATCATACTCGGTTAAGCGTTTATTTTTCGATTTGCATCTAAAGGATTATAAACTTTGACTCAGGATCAAGAGGATGAAGGCCAATACGCAACAGTTAGCGAACACTCCCCCCAACCCAACAGCACTGTTGAACCCGATATAGACGTTGAAGATGAAGATAGTGATGAAGACGATGAGACGACCATCCGAGAATAATGAGGGCGCCCTGACTCAAGGACTGTAAATAATTGAGTGAACAAGTTATTCTGTGCTGCGCATCTATACCACCATTTAGGAGATATTCCTACCTGGAATACAATAGTAAAACATCAGTTCTCTTAGATATCTTAGATATATGGCTACTCAAATACCATCTTCAACTATAGAAAATGGCAACTTTTATGACGGTCACAAGTAAAATAGTTATTATGCGGAACGCGCGGCGTGGTTCACAAGATGAAAGTTTTCATGGCCCTCAAAATCTACCCCTGATTGGTTGAAATAAATCACGTGACGTAATAAGAAATTAAATCCTGGTGCGGTAGTTTACATGATAAAATTTAGAGTGCATTTCCAGACTGTTCCTAAATATGTATCTCCTTGCCATTTAACGAAAAATGTATTCTTATTTACCAATTAGTTGTAAATTACTACCGGTGTTTTATAATTGGCTATGCGTAACTGCAACAATTCTCAATTTTTAATCCGGCACTCATTTTTGATATGAGGCAAGGTTTCCTTCTCGCCCCGTTTTGGCGATGAAGTAACAACTGTGCAGTGTGCAGTGAAATTCTGTAAATAGATGAATCTTAACAGAATAGAACGTTGATTTCCTTTCTTTTATAGTAACCAATTGTAATCATTTCAATTTCATTATGATATTTTGTTATGACATATATTCAATGATTTTTTATTTGTTGTGAAGACGTTCAAAGAAAACTCTATTATAGGATCTCAATCTTCCCGTTAGAATTATAATTTACATCAAAGAAAATGTCTGTAAAACATCGTTTGCTGTAAAATCTGAATTTTAAAAAGGTAAAAACTGGTTAAATTTCAGTCAATATCTAAAAACTGTATATTAAAATGGCAACTTATTAGTAGCAAATTCCTTCCTTTCAAGTCGAGGTAGATGCCTCTTCTTTTTCTGTCACAACAAGACAATTCTACTTACAACTATCATCACAATAAATAAAAGTCCTAACAGTCCACCTATAAAATCATAGGACGACAACGCAAGATTGGAAGTCGCAAGTCAATGCACCTAACAAGACATCAGAACAAGCGGTATTAGCATCACGTGACGTAACACGTGACGTAACACGTGTATAATAAGGATCACGTGACACCGAGTGCTAGTCAACACTTTCTGAAGAGAGGTGAGGACGGACCCAGGGTGTTGGTTGTGTTGGTGTTGTTGTTGTTGTTCTGTCTCATCCATGTCATGTGACAGTTTGAGCTGCAGAATTGTAGCGTTTGTCGAGATCTGTATACCTGGAATAAAATATTTTAAAGTTAAATTCTTTTGTGTAAAAAATTCTATTCATAAACTATTTTTTATAAAAAAGTGCAATGTGCTGACTTCAAAATTAGATGAGGGATTATGAATTAAAGCTTTAAAAAGAAAACTCTAGAACTAATTTCAAACCAACTTACCTTAGCGACGGTATTCTTTACTGAGATCTTGCACTGATGACATGTAATTGTTGGCTCAGAGATTTTTTTGTCCCTGTTTTTCTGGTTATTCTTGCTTAGGTTGAAAATGCTTCCGGTACCAGACATTGTTCTTGTGAAAGCTAGATAATTGAGAGAATAATTTTAGTGAGATGTTCAGTGCTGGCAAGCACGACCGTAATTTTATTAATCATTCAACCTTAAATATGTCCAAAAATGAGTTAAGAACAGTAACACATCAATTGTGACTCGAAAAGGCGGAATCGCCTTTTGTTGACTGGTGAAGAAATGGAAACCTAGATGGAGTTTCGTAAAAATTTTCAAATTGTGGCAAAGGCAAATGTCGAGTACGTGAACATATCAATTATCAAAGGTGATTACATGATCAATTTTGTGCAAAAAACTTACCAACTGTGTAAAATTCGCTAAAACACGTACTCAGAATTATTTCATTGCTCTAAAGCTTCTAGGAATCTCATGATATTCTAGGAAATATTTGCCAGTCATGGCTGGAATTAATTTCAAATAACTGGAGTTATGATGCCATCGACTGGGGGATTTGTAATTCATTTGGCGGCTAATGTAACAATTTGGTGCAGACACCACAGCAATATGGTAATTTTTAACAACCATATCTATTTAAGATTATCAAGGCTAGGACCTACTTAAGATAGGAAAGGTCTCGACGATATTACCAAGCGTGTTAAATCACTCGAACCTCGCGATTTTTCTAAAAGGTTCCCCGACAGTTGAAAATGAAACTAACTTGAATCGATGTATTTTTGAACGGTGATCCTTAATCATCCCACATGGCACAGGGTTTAAATTCATCCCTGGCGAGTTATCGGCGAAAAAGTATTCCGACCTGACATGATGTAAAAACTTTAGTGAAGGACATTGAATTAAAAATTATGATATGTGTCAAGAATGTCACCAACAGTGAAAACTGAAAGCACTCTTTTGCTTTTGTCTCGCCAATTCTCTGCACACATCATACCAGGAAGAAATAACTGTTTTTGGTTCAGTTGAAACAGTATGGAATTAAAATTAGAATTTTCCAGGGGTGAGGGATCAAGAAAAACTCTCTATAACAATACCAAATACTGAATGAAGGCAACGTAAGTGTGAATGATGATTGAACGAAAGACATAAATATTCCGGTAGGTCGGCCCACTAGGCGGTATGTTAACATTACTAGTTTTACTAGACAGCGAACCACAGTCCACGCCTCAATTGATAATATTAATAAAATTTAAATTCCCCGCACTAGAAATTAGACGCTCATTTCCGTTATAAAACTATCACAAAATTTGAACGACAAACCAATTTCCAACAAAAAAGCCGAATTATTAGCTCACGTTAATAAGATTATATAATATAAATATAATATATCATGTAAACGTTATAACCTCTAATCGTCCAGACAAGACATAATATGGCATACACTTATAAAAGCTTTGTAACGTTGCAACAAAGCACGTACTTCAGATAGTGATATAAAATTACGTTAGGATACTGTCATAAAATTGCAATGTTACACTTAGTCTTACGATATGGGCTATAAAATTGCAACTGAAATCTGGAGCTGAATAGTGAGGACTCACTGGATAGTTTCTAGACGGTACCGTGCCCAATTTAAAGGGTACCCCAGTGCTCTGCGGATTAGTCGAGATAGAGTTGTACAATTTTACACTAATTAACATTTAAATTAGATTATGTACTCCGCAGATGTGGCATAGTCTACTGTAAAAGTATCTAATTAATAAGATTCCGAATGAAATGACGGGCGTGGCAACTTTCTCTACAAAAAAGAGCGCAGACTTACTACAGCCAGATAAATCATAAGCCTATATGCGTTATAGTCATCGTTATACTCGTGCCATTAGCTAAAACTTTTAAGTCCATATACTTATAGGTCGAACAGACAGAACGATAGTGCATGGCACCATCAGTCATCATACACTGAGATAGCATTATAAACTAGAGAATATCTATCAAGATAGCACTGTATACTTATACTATATCAATCGACTAATCTCGAATATACAGACCTCACGTGTGTATAGCTGAGTGGCACGGTAGACTCACCTTTTAGTTAATAACATTTTGCAGAACGCCGCGAGCGAGCGGTATGCAAGCTGTGTGCGTATGTATCATGTGCATTAGTGCGTCATGTGCATTAGTGTGCATGACGCAATGTGTATGATACTCGTGAAAATCCCAATTCCGGTGCAATTCCGGTGGAACAAATGTATTTTCTCGAAGTAGAAGGCGAATGGAGTAGCAACCGTATTGAAGGATTAAGGTATACAACAAGTTTTGGTGTTCATCAGTATTAATTGTATCTAGAATGTCTTTCATTTTTAAACAAAAGCGACCATCGATTTTCTGATTAAAGATGAACAAAAACTCAACAAATTTATTGCCTCCTGCCAATAAAATCGAATGAATAGACTTAAGTAGAGCTTGTATGAAGTCGAGACTCCTTTATCAATAACCCGAGACGGATATGAAGCACAATAAGGCTTCCATACTGCACTGTTATACAACTGCAAGTTCACAACACATTAACACATACATAGGACCACCAATTAGCGCAAATAGTTTTGGTGACGCAATAATTGCACACAGATTTGACAACGCAACTAGGAAACTGTTTCATCTGCCATCGACAATGAAACATCATTCAAATTCAACTTGACACCCATATTATACGTGACTTTGATTATTGGAAGTTGATCGGAATGCATTGCTTATCTTTACTCAACATTTTTAAACTGTTTTGAAAGGATAACTTTCATTATGGATTTATAAGGTCGTACTATGAAATCGTATGCCATGAAATTCCCAAAATTGATACGATTATTAGATTCGGCAAACGACAGCTGTCGGGTGTCTCATGGTTTATAAATATAAAGGACCAACAACTGGCTTAAACTAATCAAATCTCTAAGACAATTTGTGTTGGTTCGCTGTCTAGATACTCAAGTTTACTGTGTTTAAACAATTTTCTAAGTCGCTACCAAAACGTCGGTATATGAAACTAAAATACCGCTCATTGAGAAGATTAAAATAAAACATGAAGAGTCTAAGAGTGGTCCCCGCTAACACCTCCGACAATTCCGCAGAAATGATTGCGGCAGCAAACTGCGGCCTTGCCGTGAGAATTGCCACATGACACAACTGTAAAACCATGAGATCACTAAAAAGCAATAAAATGTCTTCAATTTGGAGAAGGAACCTCCTTACCCTGTTTTATGCCACGTGACTGAGCACGTGACCGAGCACGTGGTTAGTTACATGATCCTGAGCATCTCATTCCGCCTACAGCTAAAGCTGGAGTAGCTGCAGAGCACAATGCCTGCAAAACACCTGCACACTAGCTTTAAACCACGCCCAGTTCGCAGAGAATAACGGTTAGCACGACTCCCGCAAGGGACCATTTCGTTGCTCAAGACTGGAGAGTTAATACTAAAGACATGACGTCATCTGGAGCTACCGATCTCGCTAGAGGTCATAAATCTCGCATCTGTTGGGCATGTCGATATATTAAGTCACGGGAGATATAATGCAGAAAAGAGCTGAAGCAAGGGGTGTTGCACAATGTTGTAGCAAACTAGGCACATACTGACTATTGAGGATTAGAATACGCTTCCGGAGAATTGTATGGTGGTAGTACCATACAATTCTGTTCAATAAGGGTACCACATATTGTACCACGGGTACTATATGTTGTACCCTACCCTCATTGAACAGCAACTGTGTGTATTGTCCATCGATAGAATCTTATGATGATGAAAAGGCGGGGCACCATGATACTCAACGTAAGATTCGTGTGAAAAGTAACCTGAATACCATAACTGTAAAGTGTAAGTGTAACAAACTATGTGTTTCCGTAACACCAATATGGCGCTATCTTAACCATATGCAGTATTGAGTATGCATGATAAATAACTTAATGAAGCTTTTAAACTATGATGAGGTCAACAAGATAAAATGCAAATACACACTATGCAACAAAGCACAGCGCGAGTGACCGTGTTGTCGAGTTGGCAGTGGCTGCTAGCCGAGATAGCTGTATCTGATCCTTCTTTAATATGGTTTCGGTTGAGAAAGCTCAAGCAGGTCAAGCTTACCCAGGGTAGCAAAACTGTGAAAAGCATCGAAGTTACCTCTTTTATATCTAGAGTAGCTAGGGCAATAAACTATTATCACGTCTAGCATAGTTGACTTCTGATTTCCTCTAACTGTGTTTCGCTGGAAATTTAAAAAATCTCGTCAGCTATCTCGTGACATGATGCCTCGCTGCGAAATGTATGATATGTAATATCGTGCGAATATTGTCTGACGAGACCGTATCACGAGGGTTATATTTTTACTACAAACAATGTCAAACTTATGAGGATCGTAGAAAGAGAGAGAAATGACTCGTCCTGGTGACGATAAAACAGATCTCCAGGAGGGTTTTTAGAGCGCCTCCCCGGGCAGATTGCATGGACCCCACGCGTGCCCCCTGTCTCCCTCAGCTCGTCTACAGTGGCTGTGCAGTGCGAGGCTCATCAGGGCTGGATATGGTGAAAGGGTGGGTCAAAAGAGTCCGAATAGTTAGTGCCAGGACTAAAGTGTGTCTGCAGGACTCGTTAATGAGGTGCTGTGATGAGGAGGGTGTCTGGGCCCACGAGTTAGACTCCCCCGGTTACAGACAGGAGAACTAGTTCAGGGACTCGTGCTGGACGGTCGATAAACAGTTTACACCAGGCTGGAGCTTGACAAAAAACAAAGGAGAAAGTTAGAAACAGAGCTAGCTCCCTTCTGCAGACAGCTCATTAAAGATGAGGTCATGTCGAGTACGGTCATTGTTTAACTTACACTGTTACAGTTACTGATCTTGATTCGTGCGTACTGCGCGATCTACCACCGCCAACTCGTGATTTATTCTCACAAATCTAAACGTTAACATGCTTCCATCATGATATGCGCTACGTTGGGTCGACCATGGTATGCCTGCTATGCGGGAATCCCTAAAACGCCAACAGCTGTCATCATATTTAACGCTGCCGCACGACTTCCTTCTCAACTGTGTGAGCTAGTTTTGGGATCTAGTAAAATATTGAACTGAGATCTGGT